TGCTGGGAGTAACTTTCTCATCAGAAAACTGAAGACTGTACTTCTTTTCTTCTCCCTTTTTTTCTCAGAATTTCCCTTTATTTCATCATCCAGACTTCAAACTCTTTGAAGAGAATGAGCTTCAATGTCTGCACCTCAGTTTCTAACAGGATTCCTATCTCAGTAATGTTAACTTTTTTTTTTTTTCATCCTCGGTGTTGATTCATCTAAACATGCTCACAGAATCATTGCTTGCTGGCCTGCATGATGCTTAGAACATAGAAGAGTTCAGTTCAAGGGACCTACAAAGATCTCGTCCAACTGCCTGATCTCTTTAGGGCTAACCAAATGTTAAAGCGTGTTATTGGTGGCATTGTCCAGACACCTCTTGAACAATGACAGGCACAGAGCATCAACCACCCCTCTAGAAAGCCTGTTCCAGTGTTTACCATGCTCATGGTAAAGAATTCTTTCCTTATATCCAGTCTGAACCTACCCAGCGCAGCTTTGTGCCATTTCCTCATGTCCTGTAATCAGCGACCAGGAAATAGAGACCAGCGCCTCCTTCTGCACTTCACCTCCTTGGGACATTGTAGGAGGATGCTGCAAGGAGGTCTCCTCTAAGCCTTCTCCTCTCCAGACTAGACATGTTTCATGTCCTCATAGGACATGCCTTCCAGCCCTCTTACCAGCTTTGTTGCCCTCCTCTGGACACTTTCAAGGACCTTAACATCCTTGTTTATATTGTGCCCAGCGTTACACACAGTATACAAGGTGAGGCTACACCAATGCCAAATATAGCAGCAGAATGCTTGCAGTAGCAGCTAGCTTATTCCAAAAAAACATGAGTGCATGGGGCCCTTGTTACCAGAATTAAAGCTGCACGGTGTGAACCAGGACAATTATCTGAACGACTTGTCAGCCCTGCAGAGCCTGGTTCCTCCAGAGGAGGGGTGAGGATCATCTGCTTGCATTGCAACTGGCTTCTGGTTTAAACAAATTATGTCTCCAGTTGTTGGTCCCTTGTTCCTCATAATTGTGTTCACCTTTGCTGGAAATAAAATAAGTGGGAATGCAACAATCCTATCCAGTTTCATAAAGCCAGCATTGGGGCAATCCTGGATTTATTGCTAATTTATCAACAGCTTCAGGAAATACTCTGGTTAATTTGGTAGGAACTCCCATAGTGAAAATTTTTCTGGATGCCCTGGAAAGCAGCTTCTTGGCTGGCAAGTCAAGTAGTGCTTCCCTTGCTCTCCAAATTATCTGGATACCCAAAGGAAATTATTAATCTTTCAGTTCAAAACCAAAACACAGACAAGTATAATGAGCCTTGTTTTCCTTTGTGAAAAAAACAGATAATCAGTGGCTTAAAGAGCAGAGAATCTACATTTCTGTTAACACTATCTCTCCTGTACTCTAGGTGAAGCTTTCAGTGTCATCACCTGTACTGTGACAATCCTAACACTTTTACCAACAAGCTCAGGTATTTCATTAATTATGTTTTTAACCCGCCTTAAAGCTTCTCCAAGAGAGCAAATACAAAAATACATAAAAGCAGTTTGTCTTACTGGCTTCCAAAACATCATCTACCACTGCAGACTGACAAATACTATGCAAAATCAATGTCAGTGGTGAAATTTACTAGTTAAATTCACTTGCAAAATTTCTAACATTTCCATGTTGTTTAAAATTTCTGAAAGGGGTATATTCAATTGTTAAGTCTCTAATTTTCTTTCAATTATCAATTTTCTTCTATTTCTGGATTTTACTGTTTACTTATTTCCTTTCTTTTATGGGGGTTTTGTTGGGGATTTGTGCTGCATAAACTCCCTAGACTCCCTTGAAAAGAGTCTGAACATCTCTAAAGTGGAGCTCCGGATGTCAAAATATCTTTGTGACCTGAATTCCTCTGAAAGAAAATCTTAAAGTAGTTTCTGCAATAAAGCAAAAGCTTAGAGCAACAGGAACAGAGGAAGCATGAGGGCTGTCATTTCCTCCAGGAGCAGCAAGGTAATAATTCATATTAACACCTCCCAGAGATGTAGACCATTCCAGCAGGCCACATGTGACTTTCTTCCTTTTATTATTTTTTGTGATGGAATGAAAGGCTAGATCAGTCAACACAATATGAAGGAATTAGCTCCTGGCATTATCCTGTGAGGTTTATGTATATCTGAGACACAAACTCATACTTACTATGCTTTTTTACCCATAAGTTTCCCTACCATACTACACACTAGAGAAGTGCCGAAAGCCTTATTAGCTTTAAAAAAGAAAAAAAAAAAAAGAGAGAGAGAGGAAATAAAGAAAAAAAAAAAAAAGCAAAAGCATAATGTCACCAAATCTCAAATGCTGTATCAACAGTTTAAGTTACAGATAAGTGACAATTCCTGATCTGCTGTTTTACTGACAGTCACTCTGAAAGGTCCAGTAACACTGACACCTAGGCCAGCTGGAGAAATGTGTAATTACAGAACCCTTTGTGCTGTCTGAAAGGACTCTATAACCTTTGCTACAGCCTGGTTTCTCATAAGTTCAAAGTAAACAAAAGCTTGAAAACGTTAATAAATAGGCATACAAAAATGCTTTTGAAAAATATCTGTTCAAACTCATTTTCCAAAGGTCATTCAAATCTGCAGATTTTAGTTTTGATTTTTTGTTGTTGTTGTATAGTTGGTATGAGAAAGCATGAAAAAGTGCACGATTTTAGTTTTCTTTTCAGTCAATAAAAACTCAGTGGGAGACAGGCAAGAGAGAAGGGCAGGATGCTTTTCTTGTTACAATACTAGGACACAGGAGACGTGGGTTCAGTGCCCATCTCTGACATAAATTTCCTCTGTGGCCTAAGGCAAACTATTTTTTTTTTCAATTATTTATCTGTAAAGCAGGGATAGCCACTAACCCAGACAGGATTTGCTTGGATAACATTTATGGACATGTCAGAGGTGCTCAGGAAATCATGTATTAGACTCCTACTGACCATATATTCCAAAGCATTGGTTGAAATAATACAGGGTACACCAGCATTTCATGAAGATACATAAAGTCACACGTGTCTACTACTACCCTTCAGCCTACAAGGCAAATAAGTCTCACAACAGTAGTTGGAAATTTCTACAAATATAATTCAAAAAGTAGAAGAAAAATGTCAGATAATGCTGGTAAAAACACAACAGTTGTTGCAGAAAAAGGATGCAAACCCTACAAGCATTTACTAGCATGGTACCTGATGCCACACTGACCAGCTGGACCTCGTCTAGATAAGCCATAGCATGCATAGCATGCAACAACAGCAATAAAAAACATGAAGCTCTTTTACAAGTTAAATGCATGATTTAAGGCTCTTGCCTCTTTTTTTTTTTCTTTTTTTTTTCTTCTAATAGCTATTCAAAACTATATAGGCCATCCTAACCTTGTCAGTGCAACTTGGGGTCTTGAGTAGAAACAATGAAAATTGTTTGGAAATTACTCCTTGTATACCTTGTGGGTAGCATACAGCTAATTTAAGCATGCAAAACAGGTGTCTTGTCTAAGACAATTTGCTCTGATTTCTAGAAGAGTCAGCATCAAAAAGCAATCAATGCCTGGAAGGAATTCAACACACCCTCAATTAGACAGGCTGAATTTGCTATCCCTCTCTCTTGGCTGCCCAGGAGAACATAGGATGGGCGACTCAAGAGGAGACAGAGTCCAGGCAGAGAAAATCTGTTAAGGAGACTCCCACCTCTCTGGTGGGGTTGTAAGCACATGACATGTGACCACAGATATGCGTTCAGGCAGCATACAGAGATGGGACAAGACAAGGACATGGGTCAGGATCCTCTGATAGGCAATGTGGCAAAGGGAATGTGGATTTCCACATACATGGCTGGACTAAATGAAACACTGAAATGCAATGTCAAGGAAAAAAGAGACATAGGATGGAGTATTATTTCAGTCTAGCTGGAGAATCAACTCAGTTTATACAATGCTGGTGCCTCATCCAATATCCTAAACCTGTTTCTGTCTTGAGCCCCATCTGTGATCCATATATATACCATACCTATCAATAGCACAGATCTTAGAAACCTGCTCAGAAAGGTCTTACTAGATCTGTATTCATATTAATTCAGTAACACAGTTACCTGTGTATGAGGGCAGATTATACCTTTCAGCCTAAAAGGCTAGAAAAGTAGCTAGCCACAAAGAAAGTATAATATTTCTATTCAAATAAACAATGAGCTGAAGGAAAGAGATGGTTTTGTCTCATAAAAACAGATTACTCTGAAATTCAACAATAAATTTACCTCAGGAGTGAGGTTTCCCTCTGTTGGCCACCACAGTATAAATGACGGTATTTTAGTGGTTTAACAAAAGCTTTGGAAGTAATAAATATTAAAAATGAAATCTAAGAATGTGTCTTTACCACAAATTATTTTGGTTTTCTTTGTAGTTGACACAAAATCATCTTCTGAAAAACGTTATGTTGAAAGAATAAATTTCTCTTAATAAATTCTTACATTGGTTAAAAGAACAGTCAGAAAGAGTAAACTATAATACAGAATATAGGAAAATATACACTGATAATGCATGCAGATCTAGCCAGTGTTTTTGAAGATGATCCTAGAAAAAACAGGGAACATAAGTAGGCTTGGTAACACATCCTGCTGATATATCACATGCACCACTTAACCAGAGTGGACTCTGAAAGTAAGACTCGATCCTCTTTAGAGGCATGACTCTGGGAAGTGTTCTCCACATTTCCTTCAGAATTAGCCTGATCCAGTTTTACACATGATAGGAAACCACGAACACAACCAGCTGCTTGCCCTAGGTGAGAAGGAGCAGTCAACAGCTCGGAAGAGATCAGCTGCTTTTGATGATCTGTCCTCAGCTACGAAGAACCTTTTTTTGTCTCAAAATAAATAAATAAATAACCCAATTAGTCAACTCATCTAGTTCTGCTGGACATTTTTTGTTTCAGACATTAATAGGTCTCAGCATCTTTCTGGGCTCAACGCACATTGTAATATACTCACCATCATCTGCTGAACATGAAATATTTCAGCTCCAGTAGCAGAAAGGCGGTTTGGAAATGAAATGTCAAGAAAAGCGCCAGGAAGAGTGCTTGGTCCAGCATTGTAAACCTATAAAAAATATGCATATAAGTGTATAAAAAACCAAAACATATATGACTGCTCATAAATGGGAAAAAATGTACAACCAGAGCTGGGAGAATAGGTAAATTTGAAAAAATCTAATCTTATGCCTGCTTTTCAATCTTTTCAGACAAAATCTTCTTTTGTAAGTACCAAGATAAAATCAAAGGTTTAATTTATCTAAAAGTCTTTAACCACAGCTCATGTATCAAGTGAGAAGCAGTTTTGCAGGATAATTACCAGTCACCAATACAAATAGCATATGACATTATCTTATGTACAGATACTTGTATATTGCAAGTACTCTTTGAGAGTCTAAAAGACTGTAAAAAACACTGCTGTCTCTACCAACATTTTCATTTCCATCTGGTAACCACTGCATTATATTCTGCATGTGTTTTATTATGGAGCAGAACCCAAAGTAATGTTGACTTTAACTAGGGTTTGCTGAACTGAGTTGTCAGGAAATGCATGTGAACAACTTCCATTCAAGATCTGGGGTTTCCAATTAAATTAAACTCTTAGTGGAAAACTTTGGCTTTCTATCAAATCCCCCACAACTTTTCAACAAAAGAATTTCTAGTCCACCACTAAAAAGTATCCAGTGAAAATTCCAAAATTTGTGGATTTTTGCTAAAGAGAAAAAAAAAAATCCATGGAAATCTGTCTACAAAAATAAGTTTTTATGTCTATCTACATTTTTTTTTAATCAGGAAAAATATTTCCTGGTGGTTTCTAACAACACATGCATAAGTGCATCCATTAAAAGCATTAAGCCTGTTAGAATATTTACCTACACTGAGATAGTACTGTCAAAAAATGTAGCAATCAGTGCTTCAATTGTGTAAAGTACTGATATTAAAAACAACAACTTTTCATTCTTCAAACTCTGTTTATATTTGAAGAAATGCCTGACTGATAAAGAGAATCAGTTCACAATGCCAAATCCTTACAAAAACCCTGAGGCTCCAGGCAGGGGGAGCAATCCCACTACAATAGAGCATGGTAAAAGCTTCATGAAATACAAACATAATGTTTCATGTAAAACATTTAAAAAATCTTGATTATTTCACTGAGATCAGTTATCAGACTTAAGGAAGAAAAGACATTTTCAGTGAACATTGTGTTACCAAAAAAAATGATGCATACATCTCTTCCCGTATTAAAATTTGACATGGTATAGATTTTCACATATAAAAAAAACCCTATAAAGTATTTTTGCACTTTTGTAAATCATCTTTCTATTTTTTTTTTGGGTTAAGAAACTATTACTTTTCTCCATCTGGAAGAGATTAATAAGTGACAGGCAAACCATTAAAAACAATTAAGCAGTAATACAAACCATGCTTTGCCCATTATGAAACTTTACCCTTTCTGACACACACAGCTATGAGGTTTATCACGTTACTAGAGAGCAGATCTGTGACTTGTTACAGCATAATTTTCTACTTCTATATGGAAAATAACTTTTTAATATTGCAGTTTACAAGTGTGTGCATGATACACAAGAGGATGGGGGAGGACAAATGGTGGGTCTGCCAATATATAGGTTTTCTCTTCCTTACCTGTTATCACTTTGTTTTATTGAAAATAATAATCTAGTTAAAGCATCAGTACATCTGTTCTTTATCTGCTTCTAACCACTAACTGGCTGGGGAAGACCTATAAAACCTCAAGAATTAAATCAGAATCACAAGAATTAATAGCCTGGTTCACAAAAAGCTTTAATGTCCTGAAATCCTGTTTTCACTCCTTTTCAGTAAATAGCTAAGGGCACTGCTTGACAGTGGGGGCTTAATTGCTCTGGACCACAGTCTGTCCGTGGAGGCAGACATGTGTTATTCATTATAAGCCGAGTGGCATTCATGCCTAGGAGAACAGAAAGGGGAAAAAAGGCGAAAGACTATTTTTCACTATAAATAATTCCCACGCCTCTGCCTTATATATCATTCCCTAGTTCCATCTAGTGGTCAAAGAGGATGTGAAGTGGTTGTAATAGAGACAGCCATGGCAGTGAGACAAGTTCATTTTGGTCCCACTGCAAGAGCTTGTTACAATAAATGCTCCATATGTTTTACAACTTCAGGAACCCAACAAAACGTCAAGTGAAATTTAATCTGTAGATAATACTTGAATAACACTGATATGCTATGAGACATATAATGAAACCTTCTCACACCATATTTTTAGTGTTACATTCTCTTCCCTGTGCTATGCTCCCATTAGTAATGCTATAAACATTTTCATACCAGGGGCATTTGGCAAAGTTGGAATCCCTTGCATAGTATGTGCTCATTCTCATGGATGTAGGCTGCCCAATCCTCTGCTCCATGACCAAGCTGCTAAAAAGAATTATTCCTCCTTTCTGAACCTGGGACTGCATCTAAGATGTGGCACTTTAGTAACTAGAGTTCTTTACTCAGCATGTGATGAAAGGTAAAATAGAAACAAACAGTAGCAGCTTCATTCCTATGTAAGTGAGATGCCCTATTTGTAATCCTTGTAATAATATACTCAGATAAGGAAATGCACCATCCCTGCACACTGTAAATATGGCATCCGCTCAAGAATGCATTGCAGAGCATACTGCGATATGGAAACATGCACTAAAGCCCATACCACACTCAGAATAAAAGAGATATAAAATTAGAATGTGCTGTCAAGCAGCAAAGCAGTACAAAAAAAAAAAAAAAGAAAAGAAAAAAAAAGAAAAAAAAAAGGATCAATTGATCAGTTTTACCTGCAGTGTGAAGTTGAGAGACTGGAAAAGGCATTCGTGGTTTTCTAGCTGAACAAAGTTGGATGCTTCCACAGAATCACCATAGAAAAAGGAAGTAGGAAAGACTTCTCTGAAAGATCAAGAAACGTATTTATTAAGTTGTGCTTGTCACCAAAATTAAATATATTTGTTGGCTCTGAATCTCACCTCTTGCTTTCTGGCCATGGGAAATTCTATGGAACCATTTTACATTAATCTATTATTTGTGATTTGATTTCCTCTTGACAATACTAGACTACATAAACAGCATCTCAGCTGACCAGGCTTAATATCCCAGCACCAACTGAAATATATTTCTTTTGATTACATCTCTCTTTTTATCTTTTCCTATCACAAAACCTCTTCTCAGGGCCCATGGGCTCTGCCAATAATAATTTATGCAAGTTCTTTAGCTTGTGTAACACAGGAAGTCATTGCACTACCAAGTTAGTCTGAAGAAGTTACTAACAGGATTACTTTCAGTAACATATTCATTAAACTAACATTTCATTTTTATTTACTGTTAAAAGAGCATTTCATGAATAAACCCCTCATTAGCTATCACTACCTTTATGAGTTACAGATGGTTAAAGGGAAGAACAGAGGGGATATGACTTGCTTAGAGCTGCAGTGGCAAAGGCCGAGTTCTCTCAACTACTCTTACCACCTTATTACAACGTAAAACACAGTAGGGTTTTATCAGAAAAAACTTGGAAGCACCACAGAGTACTGTGAAATCCTAGAGAGGAGGCCCAGGAGTGCTTTAAGCATTCTTTGTGCCTCCTCCTACTCTTAGGCTGCTCCACTGGCTGGAAAGGGTCCTGGTGTAATTTCAGACAGACCTCAGCGAGGGTTTGCCTAAACTCTGCTTTGTTCCTTGGCTGTCCTTTTGATCAGACTATTTTGAGATAGGATTTTAAGCCTGTTTAGCTACATTTCCTTTTTTTTTTTCTGGTTTCCTGACCTGCCTCCTGTGCCAGGGATTGCTAGGGCAAGCAGCAGGAGACAAATTTTACTCCTCCCATCTACAGTGTTGTGCCAGAAGGCTTCTCCCAAATGTGGGACAAGCCCTTCAGGGCTATTTATGACCAGGGATGAAGGTTGCTCTTGCAGCCTCAAATGCAGGATAGCTAATAAAATTAAGCTTTAAAAACATACTGTCTGAAAAAGAGTATTACTAGTATTACCTAGTATTGCCTGGGAATGCTGTACCCTCCAACAAACCAAACTTTTCCCCAGTAGTTGGACATTTCCATGAACTTGAATCAACTAAGCTTTGTATATGGGAAAGGAGAAAATAATCCACATAGCCAGTTGGGTGGGGCTGACAACTTCAGAGACCCTGTGGTTTTAAGAGGTATATTCTGAAGAGAAAGAAAGAAGCCCAATCTGTATCAGTGTTTTCCACCTGCAGTATTCTGTAAGTGCGGAGCAGAGATCTAAAGACACATTATTTCTTTCATATCTGTAAACCTGTATAAAATCCGTGTCAAAGCATCAAGAAGCAAAGGATACAGAGTTAAATTTCTACACAATCCGTAAGTGTGAAAGCATTCAAAAGCTTTCAGAGCATGCTGCTAGGACTGTGTTCTCAGTATATAGAAGATTTTTGTCCTTGCTAATCATCTTGTGACATCTGACAGTACTCTTCATTTCTCTGAGCAAGCTCAGACATATCTTCCACACATTCTGACTTCCGCGGCAATAAATAAAGGATTTTATTGCTATGCAATATGAGGGGAAATCATCTTTATATGGTAAAATCTAGACCTGGCCATGAATTTGAGTACACCCAGCCTTTCAGCCAAATCACATGCCAGTGCAGGTAACCTTCTTTCCTCTGTTTCTGTTAACCACTGTCCTCTCCCAGGGACTGGGCATGTGCTATATAAGTATTACAGTCAAAGGGTGAGTGATGTTCCTCGGCTGGTATTCAGACGCTTTGCAGAATAGGAAGCAGAGAGAGTGGGAAAGGAGACAGAAGCAGAAGCAAATTCTTATTGTGAAATTAAACAGAAAGGCAAACAGCTAGACTCCACCAAGATCCTTACAATCCCAGAACATTTGACCCTAACCTTTGGCCTGGTGATTCTCAACCATATCTTTAAAGGCATGCCCTAAAGAACAAGAGGCAATTTGCTTTTTCTATTTTTGTTTTATTTTAAGGTCCATCATATCCACAAAACCACGTGAATTCAAATATAGTCACTAAAATACCTATTATAAATGAGATGACAACTAATCAGTGCTAGCTAGAACGGAGTGAGAAAGAGGTACAGTGCTGGAATGAAAGGAATGACAAATAAAATTCCCAGATAATGAATGAGGTTGTCCTTATTTCCAGACTCTGGGAAACAAGGAAAAAGCAACATTCTTACTACATGTAAACAAAGAGAAAAATTCAGTTCTTCACTCAGAGAGACTGAGATGTTATTGTTAGGACTGTTATTATTTTGTTTTCATTTGATGACTAGTACTTACCCATTGATAGATGAGTCCACTTCATGCATCAGGGGCACTGACAAGGTTAGAGTATTATCATGCAGAAACTCTGTGTGTTCTAGGTTACCACTGTGCCACAAAGGAAAAATAAACACACTGTAAAACCACAGCCTTTACAACATACCACAGTTACACAGCTACCATCTCTCTGCTTTGTACTCTGAGCCTCTCCCAGTGATGTTGCCTCTCATTAAGAAGCCTCTTAAAGATTGTTACTTCTGTTCATCCCTCTTTGGAGGGGGCACACACACGAAGCGTGCTTTGCAGCTCTTCCTCTGTGGCTGGGGCATAAGCAGACTTACGCTGATAAATCTATCTTTGAGCAAAGTTCTCAGTTCAAAAGTACAGAACTACAGCAGTGATCATGCATAGTGGAGAGAAACAAGGATGTTTCAAAAGCAACTCAAATGGTTGATTTTTATCCCAGCCTGACTGCACATCAGTTTGGGAGGGATACATACACTTCACAGAGGTTCTTGACAGTAAATGAAGCTGCCATTTTACTGTAGCTGCATTATTTCACAGCATTGTCTCGGTACTGCTATGAGCATCTTTGCATGTAGACCCTCATACTGAACTGGCTGCAAACTCTCAGCTGTTCTGCTCCCTCTGCGTGTTTTAATTGTCAAAATGAAAGAAGTTCTACTTTGTGTCTTCAAAGCCAGTTGCCACCACTGGTCAAAAGCAGAAGGGAAGAGAAAAGTGAGCAGTCATCTCTCATTTAAGTTGGTTTATTTCAGTGTGAATACTTGTGTATTAAGTCCAGAAAAGGTTCCTGAATCGCATGACCAACAGGCAAACTTGTAAATATTCTAATTCTGGTGGTGAGTCCTCTTGGTGGGTGACAGCTTAAAAGAAGAATATATTGCATATATTTCCTGTTCCTTCAGCAGTGACTCTGATTGCTTTTGCCTTGCTGCTTATTAGATTTACTCACAAGTCCACCTGTTAAAAGATATGATCCTCTTTACTTCAGAACATTACCACTGAGGCAACAGCAGGTAGTAACATCCCAAATGATACCACACATATGATGAGTTTCTCAATCAGGTTATGAAAACAGAGCCTGTTGGCTACATATATGTAGATACAGCTCAGCCTTCTGAGACTGACACATTGGCTATACTGGCTAAACAAAGCTATGGCTCAACAAAAGCTTTTCTTCTGAATAGATCAAAATGGAGACATTTCTCATCTCAAATACCAAGATATTACGCTGAGAAGCAGAATAAGCAAGTAGAATTTAGCATAGGGTTCATATGTATGTGTTTATCTGTTTAAAAAGAAGCAGTTACTGTAAAAAAAATGAAAACATAGCTTGGTGAATTTAGCTCCAGCAAAATAGTTTACTCCAGGAAGCAACAGAAGAGTTATGTTTAAAATAAACAAACAAACAAAAATAAAAATGAAGACCTAGTGTAGTGCTGAGTCTTTGATCTCTCTCCCCCACTACAGAACCAGTCTCTCTTGCTACAGATGCTACTGCCAAATTTACAGCTACAAGGGACAGGTTAAGTGGCCACTTGAAGGGTAATACTTAGTTTCCAGTGACAGTGTGGTATAGCTAACAGCTTTTCCATGCCAGACATTTCTGCAGGACTAGCTCCAGTTTTGTGTGGGAACAATGTCCCCACTCGTTGCAGTCTAACCACAGTACAACACGGACATTTCCCTGTCCATTTCCTTATCACTGACTTTACCCCAGGGCTCCCTGTTAAAGCCCAACAACTTTTGTGGTAGAAACATTTTATTACTCTTATTTGACAGCAAGGGAATTGAGCAATTTGCCAAAGTCATGGAGAAAACGAGGGTTTCCCATTCAGCAATGGGAACTGCACTGTTGCTGGAGGTTCAGCTGAATCCTGAACAACACAACTGTCCTCCAGCCCATCCTTCTGAAAGGAAAAATAGTCTTTTAATACCTCTGATCATTTGCACTATGTGTACAAACTACTATATATTTATTTGTTCCATCTAAAGGCAGCAACTAACCCTCTTCACTGGTAGTGCACAGAAATCTTGAGGAGTGAGGTTACTGAGGAAAGCCCTGTGCTATCCAAGGCAGGGAAAGGAGAGGTACAGCCTGGAAAATGCTGGTTGGGCAAATGTAAAGCACTCCTGACCTATCCTTGCAACCGCTGGCATTTACATGGCAGATCCCAATACATCTCCCTGACCTAGAGGTATTACAGGGTCATCTGAACACACGATCAACTTCTCTTCGTGGAGAATAAAACTGGTCTAAACGTGCAAGACGTGGTCTTGCCCATCTGATGTGAGGTCTCACTGTCAGCATTTCCTGCTGGCACCACATGCTGCAAGATCTTTTTCCCTGCCTGCAGCTGTCACAGGAGGGGGAGGATGCCGCCCTACAAGAGCACTCTCTCAGCAACTGCTACATCTCCTCTCTCATCTCCAGCTGGCCTCTGAAGCATCATCAAAGTGGGGAGGAGAGTTCACACTGGAGATACTGACTTTGATGTGGCAGGATATGAAGCTGGCCTGTTCACACAGTAAGTGGAAGCAGCAACCAGTCCCACACTCAGCACCTCAGAGTGGCAGTTTATGGCCCAGGTTAATGAAGCTATGCTACAGTTGGTTTCCATAAACACCCAGACACTGCCTGAGACAGAACCATCCCTGGTGTCTGCTTCTTTGTGGCACAGAGCACTTGTCACATCTTTTATTTTGCCCAAGATGAAGTTCCTATGCATATATCTTAAGGTTACTGGCTACTATTTGGCACCACACTACCGTAATGCCTGCTGCAAATACCTCCAGCACAGTACCCCATTCAGCTGTTTCATGCAGTCCGGCATACCTTCCTAAAGATCCAGAGAGGGGAAAAAATAGACATCAACTTTGGAAACTGTCAGTAAGATCCCTGACCATCTGATGAAAGCATTTTTCTTTTCTGGTTTGCATCCAAGCATGCTTATTTCATTCAAATGCTGGAACAAGTGGATCTGCCTGGTTCTGATTGTCAAGCACAGCTGAACTGAGCTTGATACACAAGCAAAGGGATGGGCACAGAAAAACAAGGGCCTTCCAACTGAGAGAACACAAAATGCTCCTTCAGAATCACAGCTCCCTGGCAAGCAAACTCTACACACAATCCCACCTTATTTTTCAGGAAGGTAAGTCACATGGTTCCTCTGTATTATCAAAATACACACATTTAGCCATCTAACCTCGTTTACTGTCCATAAATGTGCTATCATATCATGTCACCGCTATCAGACTATTGCCAAACAAATGCAATGCACATATCATGCAAGGAAGAATATACAAGTCATCAGGACGTACAAAGGTTCTCTTACCTTTGGGCAGTGACAAGGAAGGTAAGTGTTTCTTCTTGCCCAGACAAGTGACTTGTGTCAAAGATCACACTGAACTCGTACTGCACAAAGACAAAATGGTATTTAGAAACACTGTACTTTTTTTCAAAACATACTTATTCCAAAACTTCAAATATATTTTACTGGTCTAGCTGTGCAGATGTAGCACACTTTCATACATTTAATAGAGCCTCCTCTACCGTAGAGTAGCTTTTAAATCTAAGGAATTGCTCATCTGTTCAAATACTACAGAATCCAATTTTTCTTTCATTGTGAAAAGGCCTTTATTAGAACTGCCATTCAATGATACTTTTGGAGTAGATTATCTGCCAGTGGAAGTGTCTTCTAGTTTAAAGGGATCATTATCCAATCCTACCTCAGCACCGATGTGTACAGTAGTTGCTGGTGAAGTGATATTTTCAGGGAATAAAGATCATGTCATAGGCATGCACTGACACCCAGAACAACCAGCACGAGTCAAAGCACCATTCAGGTCAATAATCAAACTGGGTAAAATCAGGTGCCAATTTTGAATAGAGAACCTACCTTGATGATCACTGTAGCACTACATTAAAAAAGCTGTTGCATCAAATATTTATGTACCCAAAAAAAACCCAAGTGAAAATTTCTGAATTCATGCTAACTTCAATGGCTTACTGAAAAAAATGGAGGTAACCCAACTATGTTATTCTGAAACAAAACACTGAAATCCTTACATTTCAGGTAATATTTTGCTGCTGTATTTTTTCCACTGTATTTTAAATCTTTTTAAATGTTTCAAAAGACTACATTCTAAGAAATAAATGATCAGTAACAGAAAATTCCATATAAAGTCAAATGCTATGTCAATTCAAATAGAAAGGAGTAATTTTTGAAATTTAAATTTTATGAAAAATTTTACATTGATTTTGTTTGGTCATTCTGAAGTTATTCCTCTTCTCACCTTCCTGAGTTAGTCAGGTGTACAGCTTTTTTTAGGGACAGAAAGAACGTAGCTGGATTTGTAAATACTACGAAATAGTTCATCCTCTACTATCTTCTACTAGTTCATTTTCTACTAATCTTCCAAGAAAACAAAACAAACAAACAAAAAAAGCTACCAGGAAAACATAATATGAAAAAGTTATTGCAGCATTTTCAATGTTATTCATATGAATGCAGTTGCACAAAGTGAAAGTAGGCAAACATAAAAACTGAGTAAGGCAATATAAGTAAGTCAGAATCCTTCCCTATTTTTCTGCAGAGGAAAATTTTAAGCTTTTGGTAGCTACAGCTCTTGCATCATTTCTGAAGAGCATTCAATTGCAATGCACAGGGTATTACACCATTGGATGTATCTGGTGGGAAAGAGTACATCTGCCTTCCCACAACAATGAAAGGCTTCAGTATCTGGGTTAGAACACTACAGAAAGTTATCAGCCACACACGTTTAACAAAGAAATTGTCCTTCCCACTACTCCTTGGAGACAAACAGAGGAAGAAACCATCACTCAGCAGATGAAAATATCACAACATTACCCTAGATTTCGATCTCATGAAAGGAAATCCCACACTGCACTTGAGGAAGTCTGATTCCAACAACTCACAGGCAATGCCCAGCTCCTCCTGTAAGAAAATAAAAAAGACCTTGAGATGATGGATTTGAGGTGAATAAGAGAAGGATTACCAATAAATATCATTGAGATGAAATGATCTTATAAAACAAAACATTTCCCATCGTAGCACTGTTATTCCCAGAAATCTAATACTCCTTGAATAAGGAAAGGCACAATGAGGCACTTCCTGACTCCACCTCAGTAAGATCAGCACTGAGACGTGGACAACCATCTGAATGTTGCTCTGAGAGCCAGACCACGGGGAAATATGGCACGACTAAACACACTGGAGCCAGGAGACCAGCCCAAAGTTCTTGGATAACTCAGACCATCAGTTATTCCCATTGTTTTTTAAAAGAGCTTTCAAATATTCTAGAATACAGGTTCTCCACATCAGTTTTCCCAGTATTATGAAGACAGAATTGTATTGGGTGACAGTGACTAAATCAGGACAGGCACAGATGCTGGAGAAAACTTCATCTGGTCCTAGTGTTATTCACCGCCCTGATCTCTCTGGTTCACAGGATGAGCTGCAATGATATGGGTACCAACCTTCTTTAACGATACAACGGTGGCATAAATAAATTAGGGAGATGGGCCTCTCCTCAAGATAAGCAATGAAAGACTATGAACACTGTCCATAATGCAAAGGAAAATGTTAGAGAAGCCTTATCCTGCTTGATTGGTGACTCCATTAAACCAAGGGAAGTGCTTCTATTGAATAGAAAGTGTTTCACTGTTCCATAAAAAAAATGTCTGGCTCCAGGTTAGCATGGTCTCATCTCCAGGTTATCGCAGAACAGTTGTGTGTTCTGTCACTCTGAATAAGTTCATCACATAAAACTTTAGGGGTAGGATTCAGTTCCACAGTCTGATGTGCACTTTTAGGTGCCTGCTATGTAACTTAGACGCTCCCTTCATAGTTGATGGAGCCAGAAAACTGTTTGCCAGGCCAAATGTAGGTGCTTATTCCAGACTAAACTGAATAGCTATCAAGGCCCTGGTATTGTCTAGATCACCACTGTAGTACTGAAATATGCAGCTACAATACAAATGCCCGAATTTAGCTATTTGAATCTAGAAATTACCTATATTCTAGACATGTTGCTGGGAATCTCAGAGGTACAGAAGATATGGTTTATTTGACCTATTTTAAGTACCCAGAGTAGTTTGCAAAGCCCAGGGTCTGCCTCCTTATGCACATCTCCCAAATCGTTTATGAGTTCTGCTTTAAACATACTTCAACTTAGGTATTTGCATGAGTACCATTCACATCTAGAACAAGTATGTGCTAAAGTGGCTTCGTGAACCATGTACTCTGACTAAGCATCTCCAGGAAATGCTTCTCTGGCTTTCACATTCTGATAGGAGTACGGCTTTAGTGTTCTACAGATGTTACTTCTTTCCTAACTGCAGTCTTGATCTTTCAACTGCTTTCTGCAATATCTGAAGGACAAAATCTCCTTTAACATCACGGTTCAAATCATGGCACACATTTATAGAAAATTATGTCCCTCATGCTTTCTTCTCTTAGTATTTCACTGGTCTCACATGTAAAGAAAGTAATATAAGGAGAAAACCCATGTATGCTTTGAGATGCCTGATGGCATGAAATTACTCCAGCACTACTCAACAGCCAGAGTAGTGTCCTCCATGTCCATTCTTTATGGATTTGTTTTGTTGCAATCTTTAGTAGACTTTATTTGCAAAATAACAAAAGTTGGCACTGCCCAGATTATCTAGATTCAGTTGTATAAAGCTGCCATCCTCATATTCTGTGTCAGATTTTCTCCTCCATTTAACACATAAGAGCAAAGAAAGCACTTCATGGGCGCAGCATCTCCTTCACTTGCCTCTTCCTCTGAGCTACACAGGAGGTTCTCCAGCTTTATTCAAGTGATCAAGTGAACACAAACTGAGCAGCTGCATAACCAAATGAAAAATTTCACAGCTGTTTCCTCTGGGAACATTCTCATTTCTGTGTTGTTCCGATGTCCCTTGCTGTCTAACTGTGGCAACCTATGAACTCTCTTTCATCATCTCCCTGTCTCTGCTCATTCAAGAAGGGTTTCTATTTACATAGCTGTCTGGTGGTGACAGTGACCAGACAGACCCAAGAGGTTGTCTCCCCTCCCCAAGCCCGTATCACTTCAGAGATGTCAAAAACACAGTAACAGAAAGAACGCTCATCTTGATAATGGAAGAAGTGCAATTCTTCTTCATTTTGCAAATTGGTGGCTGCCTGTCTTTGCAGTTCAGACAACAGGCAGGCGGATGCCAGTTGTTTATAAAGGCCTGCTAAGGAAGCATCAGGGAACACTGCATTGTGGCTGGTTTTGCTGTTACTGCTCGCAACAGCTTGACAGATGTATTGAGATTGACCTGAAAGACCTTCTCGCTTCATAAGCATACCAACCAGTTTAATGATTAACATTAATAGGACATTATTAATGCTGCAAATTCAAACTGTTCAATGCTAGGAAATAACAGAAGTAAGTTTGCTTGTACCACACTGGTTCAGCCTTCTGCACGTTTCTAAATCCCAGAGTACCTACAAACCTTTCTATGGACTCACTGCTCTGCGATTAGTATTAAGAAGCTCTGATAATGGGTGAACTATTTGCTTTTCCTTCATCACTTACTGTCTGGCTTCAGGCTTATTTGCTACATACTGTTCTGGAGAGGGAAAAAATTGTTTTTATGGGATTTCCTATGGTGTTCAGCTCTGTAATGTGTGGACACACAGCAAGTATTAAGTTCAGTTTTCAGAAAGCTGATAGATTTTTGGTGCCTTAATAAAAAATAGGGAACAGCGGCAGGGGATTTCTGGGCTTCCAGAAATTTTGGTGCCACTTCTCAATGATGTGAGGTAACGCTTTAAGTGCATAGTGCTTCTCTATGACAATACAGCCTAGCTGAGAACGCAGTTTATTGTGTGAGTTTCCCTAGCAGAATTTCTAGCTTGCTTAGAAAACATAGCCAAAGGGAAGCTTCCCTTCCAATTACAGAGTGTGAAGTTTTATCTAGACAACTTTGTTTTCTTTCTGAAACATTTCACAGTTTTTCATATTTTAAGGAGACTATCAGGTAAAGAGTGAGCTAATTAGACAAATAGCTGTACTATTACTGCATAACAAATAAAGACCCGGGTGTGAGAAACATGAAGCTCAGGCTGGCTCACAGTCTGTTTCTCCAAGTCTTTTATCGCAGAAAGAAAAGTTCCCGATAATTATGGCAAGAGCAATGAAATAGTCAAGTTTTAACTCCATCATAAGGGGCACATGGGGAAAAATAATTCAACCTAAATTTTAAAGCATAATCCTCTCAAATACATTCCTTGAGGTATGTAACCAGGGTATGATTAGAGATGTAACAAAATGGCCTTACTTGTGGGGTGTTTGTTTTAAAGCGTAAATATGATATGTAGTTTTCAAAAAAGTAGTGCAGGAAGCTGGTAATGATCATATTAACATTATATGGGAGAAACAGCAGCCTGGAAATGTTGCTATTTGTTAAATTTAAGACTTAAAGGAGAAGAAATTTCAGTAACTGTTGTGTTCTTCCTGAGTCAGATCCACCTCTTGTTGCTTCAAATATTCATCTGGCGTACCATGCAGCCTGCACTGGGAGACAGCAGCTTTCTTCTCCAGTGGCATCTCTGGCCAGTACCTGTCTCCACAGAAGCAGTCTGTTGTTGAACATGGAGGCTCAGAGTACATGTGACTACTGGCTGACAAGTGCTCAGGTGTGCTTAGGAGCAATGTCTCCTCGTGCTTTGTCCCTAACTCACACGCTAAGTGCAGTAGAGTCCTTACTGTCCCGAATAGCTCAGCTATATAACCAAAAGAAAGTAAGAGGCTCACAGAATAATCTGCTTAAAAAAAAAAAAACAGGCAAACAAAACATTCAGCTTGGCCTAGAAAGCATTTCAACATGAATAAAGCACTTGAACCACACAGATGGGATGCTAGGATCATTATCCTACAATATAATAACTCAAGAGCAATACCCTTTTTGCTGGCTTCACCTTGCTGATTATCTAAGGATATAACACATGGAACAACCCAAAATTTTGCTCTTTCCCTATCACAGAGATCATAAGTGGACTGCAAGAGAACCTTTCATTTTCCAGGCCACATAAAGTAGATCATCACTAAGAAAATAGCTTGTCAGTACTAGAACAGGTTGTACCAAGCAAGTCTTTGACTGCATGCATCTTAGCATTTAGAAAGATTGTCTTCCCTTGATGTTTGATGGGCGTAATATTCTCAGGATATAAAGATGGGACCAGTGCCAGCTGGAGCACAAGACCAGAGTATTTTAGGTATGATCCTGAAGAAGACCACTTATGAGACCCAAACACTGTTCAAAGACAGCTGCTCTTTGTCCCCAGTCCTCCTGAAAGAGACATTTTTTTTTAAAGTAAGATTTCTTAAATATTGTTTACTTTGACCTCAAAGGGTCATTTTCAACTTGGTTAACTGCCAAATCTAAGACTTAAGGAAAAGAAAAAGAGAATGTCTTATGAAAACAATAAAAGGAAGCAAAATAGGCTGCCTGGCTCTGGATAAAACACAGTGACAGGTTAGAGGCTTGCCTCTGGGAAGAGTCTTCATGCTGACATACCAACACAGGACACTGCTCCTTGTTGTGCTCCCCATTCCTGAATGCTAATGACCAGAAACAAACACCATACATGAAGTGGCACAAGGAAGGACACTGAAACTTCCTCAGCTTCAACTCAACTAGCAGTTTTAAGATCAAATCACAAATGTATTTTTCCCATATGAATCTCGCATAGCTGGTATGTGGTGACTTAGTCATCAGCTGATACAACCTGAACCTCCTCTGCCTCATTCATGTCCAAACAAAAAGCTTCAACCTCAGAGGAAAAAATTTTCTGCTTCCCTCAGCCTGACCTGGCAATTCCTATAATCACATTATTCTGGTTTTATTTTTCCCATCCTTAGGGTTATTCTTTTCTTCCCCAAAGTCAGAACCACCCTCCTC